CACACACACACACACACACACACACACACACACACACACACACACACACACACACACACTCTGTCTCACACACACACACACACCCTCTGTCTCACACACGCATAGACACAACTACCAATGTGTCTTGCCCGTCTTGATAGGACTTGGAGAACCCTGTGATTGGTCGTCCATGTCCGGTTTTCTGGACAGCCTTAAGAAACTCATACGATGTTATCATCACAGTGCCCCATAACGATGTGCTACCTGGGAATTAATCCCCTGTAAAAACCCCTCCACCCGTCCTCCCTCATCAACGTCCTTACAGTGGCTGCAATTGACGGCTTTCCCCCTTCCTTATTCTCCAACACCTGGAACCACGTCTTGACAACATCCAAAGGCGTAGTAACAACAGCTGACACCGCTCCTGCGCAAAGCCCACTCGCTGCTTGAACAGTCACCACTAGGTGCTGATGCGGGTGTTCCACTGCACCAGCGCTACATAATGGGTGTCCGCAATCGCGCTGCAACATCCGCCAGATCTTTCGTTGGGTCATTCCGTACGATCCCCACCACACCCCACTTGACGGACCATACGTCAGAATGGACATTCCAGAACCCCTGTAAAGTCCACGAAGGCCATCCTTGTGGAAAATCTCTCGGACTGCATGGATCCCATTCTGGTAATGGGTCATGCCTCGACCATCCTGCACCATCAACCGTTGACTCACGACATCGGCTGGAACAATAACCGTTTGTGTCAGCCTCGAAGCAACAAGACCTGCTATGCCATTGGACAAACCAGCCGATGTTGCCTCCGGTACGCCCATCTTCATCGTCACTTTCAGCACAACACTTTTGGTCGCCTCCAGAGTACCTAGGTAGACCGCCCTAGCTGGAATTGTACCCATAACTACAGTCCCAAAACCCTTGTACAGCCCCAACACCCCTTCGTAACGTATAGTTTGCCGGTATGTTTCCAGCATCCCTCTTCGATACGCCCCATCAGCAGGATGCACCTGCATTCGAGTCTTCAGGACTGTGATGGGGAACAATAATGCCGAGATGCTAGAGAAAAGCCCAGTGCCAATCACAAAAAACTTCCTCTTGTCAAGCTGATCCCAGTCGACTTCTGCAGGAGGGAGGGCCATCCTTGGTTCCGTAGACTCCAAGTATGTGTCCTAACAACCAATTACATCATCCACCCCCCGCAACAACACTACAGACAAGTGAAGACCCAAAGACCATTTAGTAGGGAAAATAATACCAGATGCTTCTACCCTCATCAGTAGAGAGTGCCATTTGAACCGGACATCAACGCCTGGTGCAACTCACCAGGGCACCATCCATCATCTGTCATTTTTGCCACTGACAATCTCCTGTACTCCATTCTTTCAAGGCACTGCAGTTTAGCGTGTTTTGTGCAGTCAACCTGCAATTTCTCATCCAACCAGCATACAGAGGGCAAACACAGGGAACCCCACCCACCGTTCCTGCCCTTTCCCTTCCAGTCTTCCCCTGCTTTTCTAAATGCGTGGTGACAGATCTCTCAGCTCAAGGAACCTCAAGCCTTCTCCCACAAGGAAAGAAACCTGCCTTGAGCAGAGAAAGCATGAGCAGACAAAACTGGCCAACACCATCCGATCGACCTGCAAACCACCACAACACATTATCCACATAGATCATTGGCTATTACCATCTGATCAACCTGCAAACCATGTCACCCACACAACCGTCTAATTCAACAAAATGCTTGCCCATCAGGTCATTCATACAATTCTCCACAAAACTAGCTCACGAGGCCAGGGACACACAGAGCACTCTGAATTTTCCCGATCAGATCAGGACAGATCTGAGTGCCGGGTTGAGCGGGGGGGGGGGGGGGGGGGGGGGGGGGGGGGGGGGGGGGGACGGACAGGGTGGAGTTAAATCGCCAATTAATGCCGTTCTACCTCGGCCTAACCCCGTGTAACGCGCGCTCGACGGCAAAAGGGGGTCATTTCGCCGTTTTCAGTTTAACGTGTGGGGTCCGCGGGGGTTCGGACAGAGGGGCCGAGGCGGCTAACAACCCCTGTGTGATCAAACCGAGGGGAAAAACAAAATCACCCCCCACCATTCCCCCCAACCCCGCCCCAACCACCCCTCACCCCCCCGTTCAAACTTCTTCCCTTCTGAATGCTGCGCCATGTCATACCACATCATCACTTGAGCAGGTGCACATCAGGCTCCCTGTTGAGGTCCACAAGTGCCCAAAGTTTGGATACGCACGCTGGTTACCACCCAAGCACACCTAGGCCATGTGGGCAGGGGGGAACATGCCAAAGAAAACTGGGTTGGTAAAAAAGAGGCCAGAAAGGCCCAGAATCAGAAAAGAGAAAAGTATGACTTCAGGCAGAATCGTGTGCAGCCGAACAGTTAGTTTGTGGCCTTCTCATCCAATTTGGTGATGGGCTCGGGGTGTATAAAGTAACTATGAACAGTTTATCGAGGGTCACCCTATCCAATTTGCTGACTGGATATTCACCCTATCCAATTTGCTGACTGGACATTCACCCTATCCAATTCGCTGATATTTTTGCATTTTTCCTTTCTTTTGTTTCATTTGGTCCTCCTCCCGTCAGGCCACCCTATCCACGGTCGAGACTCACTTGCACGTTCGATTTCCAATCCATAAGTTGGCAATCATGTCTCCACATCGCCGCCTTCTTCCCGGGAACTAGCGTCATGGAACGGATTGGAGAACTTGGACATTGTTGCCGACCAAATTTGCGTGGTTGCCCCTGACCTTCACGGGTCGTTTACGGGACCACATTGTGCCCGCCCAGCGTCGAGACGTATTTCGGTCGTCGCGCCACGGTGCTCATGGCGACTGAGTTGGCCTCGGTCTACGATCCCGAGCCAGATCCTATGGCTCAGGACCCGATTGAGGCCGAGCCGTGGTCCGATCCAGACGACCTGGCCGTGGACTCAGAGCCCGGAGGTTCTGATGACGATCACGACGACACTCCTCTCACCGAGATTCCACGTCCTCGGACGCGTGGTTTCACGGCGGCCGCAACGTCGTCTCCCGCTCCACGTCCACGTTTGACTACTCATGACGTCCCACTGCGAGGACCAGAGGACCGTGTTCAGGGCACGATTCCACACCCTTCGACCGATCGTCGCGGACATGGCGAGCAGGGGACTCGGGAGATTGTTGAAGAGGGAGACGATGACGCCGGCAATGACAGGGAGGGATACGAGGGCAGCAGTGAGGACGAGGATGATCCCGACTATTCCCCGATGCGCCGACATGGAGACGACGACGACGAGGGCGGCGATGGTGCACAGCCTGCGGGTGGTTTGCGGAGGCCCGAGAGACAGCGTGGCGACCAATGCAGTGATGCAGATGGGGGAGGCAGCGGGCCAGGTGTTGGGGGTGCAGGGCACACAGGAGGTGCAGACCGTGCTGGCGGAGGACGAGCAAGGCGAGAGATTGCATCGTCCACTCGCACTGTGCACTGGGTTGATGAGGGGAAGCGCACCCTGTCGGCAGAGGTCGCTCCCTCCCCTGCAGAGTTTGCAACGGGGTCTGCGGAGGTCGCATGCGGGTTAGCAGAGGTTGGTGGCAAGGCTGCACAGGTTGGGAGGGCATCTGCACAGTTGGGTGTCAGTTTCAGTGACGACATTTTTTATGTTTCGTTAGGGCTTCCTCCGACACCGGCAGGCGAGCGTGGTAGTGGTGATGCGGACGCAGCGGCTACGCCCGTCAGTCAGATACTTTGGGGTATACCTTTATGCAGCGTGGGTGACATCAGTAGCAGCATGTTGCATGAGGCAACAGAGGGGACACAAGGTTCGGCGGGGCAGCACGAGCGTGCAGTAGGGGATGATGGGGAGTGCGGATCTGTGCACGAGCTAGCGGCAGAGTCGGAGCAGGATAGGATCAACCGCGAGGAGAGGAAGAGGGCGCATGACTTGGCTAGCCGTTGCGAGATGACACAGAGTATTGCGTTGAGGGCACGTGCAGAGTGGATGCTCGAGACGGGCGTTGGTGTGGGTCATCGTGCGGCGGACGATGCAGAGGTTGAGTGTGGCGGTGCGGGTGGTGGGGATGCAGGCGAGAGACCTGCGTCGCCAGTTCAGGGTGTTTGCGTATTGCCTATCGATGGAGCCATGCCGGCGGGGGAGTTGGAGCAGCAGGCACAGGAGGACCCATTGCAAGCAGATCGACGCGGATGGATGGATGAGACGTCGAGGAGGTTAATGGTAGAGGGTCCGGCTTACGTGTCGTGCAGCCCGTCAGTGCCATCGTCCACCACAGATAACCACCATGACTTGATCACCTCCTATCGTGGCCCACCGGATTATTTTTGAAATGCTTGCACACATGTTGTAACCCTCAACATCATTGCACATCAACATGCCTTGCAATATTTCCTTCAAAACGAGGTGACGCTTCAAACTGTTGCAATGGTAATTTACGATCCTTTGCAAAGGTTGAACTTTTTATTAGAGAGTACGTGATAAATTTTATGTTTGCGACTAAGTGAACGTGTTCTGCTTTTCTAATCGTTGCATTGCTGCTCTTGACATAAACGACCACTTTTTGATACATTATATACTACCTACCCTCATTTTGTCTCCTCCTCTCAACTTTTGCATTATCCCTTCAATTTTCACAAAATGTCTTCATCAACATCACACTTAATGAGAGCACTTCCTCGATCGAAATATCCCTTATTTGCTTACTCATATCATTTAAAAGTATCCCCAATATCGTTACGGAGTTCATTTATTCCGCTCTATCCGCTAAGGCAGTAATCAAACTTCAATATTACATACTAGTAAAATGTCGTTTTTACAGTTTTTCCTCTATTCCGTCATTTCACTACATATACTTTATCGATCAACTCTAACATAATTGTTTAGAAAACAAAAACGATTATAAGTTTGTAGCATAAATTAATAACATTTGCACGAGTTCAAAAATAGTATCACATTTCAGAATTCTTACTGTATTTTTTTCACCATATATTTTTTACCTTCTAGGTTTTTTATTAACAGTGCGCTACCCTACTGAATTCTATGACAGGCTCAACCGGATAATTACTGTGATGCTCATTAAATATATACACATGTAACAAGACTCCACATTAGTGCATTTTTCTCTTATTTCCAAATCTCGGACTACCAATGTCATAGCAACAATTTTTTTTCTGAAGGTGGTCGATTACGCATGTGTCTGTCAATATGTCAGAATTTTTTTTTTTTAATATTTGCGTATTGTGTTTCTCCAATTCTTATAATGTTCATGAACATGCATAATATTTCATTATCAAAGATGCTTAGTCATGTACAACATTCGAGAGGTTGCTAGGACTGCATTCTGTTTTTGTACTTGCTAAAATTTTCTTCATCCATTGTCTTCGCGTGAACTTCATTTTTTATTCAAATTTCGTACATCTTTCATATTTTGCATGATCTGCCGACAAATGGTGTTTTTTTTTAAAGAGACAGAGAGAGAGAGAAAGAGAGAGAAGTTATTACATTATAGACTGTCCGTCGGGCCATAAAATGTTTTCGTTCGACGATTTGTGTAACCATTATCACTTAATCACCTCCGATCGTGGCCCACCGGATTGTTTTTGAAATGCTTGCACACATGTTGCAACCCTCAACACCATTACACCTTAATATGCCTTATAATATTTATTTCAAAACGATGTGACGCATCAAATTGTTATAATAGTAATTTACAATCCTTTGTAAAGGTTGAACTCTTCGTTGGAGAGTACGTGATAAATTTCATGCTTGGGGCTGAGAAAACGTGCTCTGTTTTTCTAATCGTTGCATCGCTGCTCGTGACGTAAACGACGATTTTTTGATACATTATATACTACCTACACTCATTTTGCCTCCTTCTCTCTCAACGTCTACATTATCCCTTCAATTTTCACTTCATCAAAATCACACCGATGAGAACACTTTCTCGATCAAAATACTTATTCTCTGCCTACGCACATCATTTAAAAGGATCCACAACATCGTTAAGGGGTTTATTTATTCCGCTCTATCCTCTAAGGCGGTAATCAAACTTCGATATTGCATACTAGTAAAATATCGTTTTCCCATTTTTTCCTCTATTTCGTCCCTCTACTATATATACTTTATCGATTTACTCCAACATCATTGTTTAAAAAAGAATAACGGTTATAAGTTTGTAGCATACATTAACAACATTTGTATCAGTTCCAAAAGAGTATCACATTTTCGAATTCCTACAATATTCATTTCAATTACCAATCTGAGAGGATAATTTATTTTACCATATATCTCTTACATTCTAAATTTTTTATTAACGGTGCGCTACCTTACTGAATTATATGACAGGCTCAACCGGACTATGAGATTGGTATAAGACAATTTACTCAATTCGAACTTTCTTCCTTTTTTTTTCCAATCTCACGTGTATTATAGCTCGTTTGTTATGGGTTTCAATATTTAATGCATTATATATTAAACTTAATCCGGATATGAAAGTTTTCATACATACGTCAATGGCAACCTATATATATCAAATTTATTTATATATATACCGACTTCATGTACTATTATATACTAAAAAATACTTATGTACATTGCACTCCGTTAATCTAGTTTTATATATACTAAATATCTCAATTATAAGAGATGATAGTAAATACAGACATATGTTTAAACAAGAGTGTACTTTAAAATATGATACAGACATGTATCTTATTAGTTACTGGAATATCATTAACATCCAAATTGTTTGTGTGTTACTCATCTTAACAGAAGGATTACTTTATAACACGTTTGTACACGTGTTACGAATTCATTTTCCTGTTTCGAGAGGTATAAGTTTTCCCTCCAAACGACAATATAGAATACGATCCTTATTCTTTTCGGATTTCAGCGTCCTGCTTTCGACAATTGCTTCGTTTTCATCAAGCTTATCATCCGCAGAGCTTTAAGGAGGAATATGGTCATTCTTTAAACAATATTATTATTATTTTTTTGCTCAATATTTTTCTGTTTTTAAATCTCTATTATTGTTCTGACGTTTTGTTCTCCGTAACAGTTTTTTTTTCACTCTTTTTTTTTTTCTTCCACAAACTGTCTCTTTCGCTTTACTTCACAACTCTCTTACATTGCCATTTTTTTTTTCTGTTTCTAGTTTTGCCATCAACTCTACGGTTTTCAATAGTTGCATAATAACTTCCCCCATTGTATTTACTTTATTTTTCATCATTTGTTTTTTTTCCTCCTTCTCTCTTTGTGCCTTAATTTTTTCAATCATTGTTTTCATCTTCCATACCACATCCTTCATTTTGTCTTCAACATTTTTCACTTTATTTTCCAAGTTGTTTATTTTATTTTCTTGCAATCCCCTTCTTTCTTTTTAAGTTGTTTTCGCATCTTTTTTTTTTTTTTCTTATTGTCCTCAAGTTTTTTTTTTCCCTTTTTTTATCATTTTTCTCACTCCTAATGCCCTTCAACTCGAATTTTAATAACTTCATAGTCTTTTGAGTTTCCTCGAGATATTATCTTCATCTTTATTTCCTACTTATTTTCTCATTTCGTTACACGCTCCTCTAAATCTTCAACATCTTTCTGCATCTCCTTCCTTTTTCTTTGTACACCCTTCTCTCTTACAGTATATATTGCATCACCAAATCTTTCCTCGTTACCTCTTCAATAGCTAACCCCTCCCCCCTTACCAATAGAACTTTCACTCCCTCCTCTTGTAGCCCTCCCCCCATTGCTACTCTCGCAAGGCCCATCCCCTACCTCCTCTTGCAGTGTTCACCCTCACCCAACTCTTGCAGTATTCTACTCCCCCCTCCTCTTGCAGTAGCACCTCCCCCGCCCCTCCTCCTCTTGCAGCAGCGCCTCCCCCGCCCCACTCCTCTTGCAGCAGCGTTTCCCCCACCCCCCTTCCTCACAGTCCTAACAGTTGCGCCCCCTCCGTTCCTAGTTTTTCCTCCTCCCTCACTTTCATCTGTCGGAACAGTAGCTAACACCATTGTTGGTGACATCTCGACGCTCCTAAAATTACGTAGTCCCCCTCTCTGAAAAGAAAATAAGATTCAAATAAATAATACTTACACATGTATGCAAAATCACAGATATAACAACTTTGTATTTTTACAAAAAATATTGCATGAAATAAATTAACAAACACATTCTATAATAAGTTCGTCAATCAACATTTTACTATTAAAACATATTTCAAAATGCACATCTGCCCGAAAATGCAGAGAACTCACGCGCAAGCTTACGCCAGTAACATCATCAATAAACGCACGATTTCACAAACATGACAATCAATTTATTTTTTAAATGTTACTTTGTTATAAGATTTATCTAAGTCACTTAATTCTTCATCATCAAAAACGTTTTTTACCCACTCTACACATTGCAACGCTTACCATTGGATGCCTATCCTCACACTTTTTATTTCACACCTTCGTCATCTTACTGTATCTTCTGACGTTGCTGGAATTTTCTATAACCGCCTTAATACTAAATCTAGGACTTCTGGCTACCAATACATAGTGAACGACGTTTCTTTGTGTGCCAAAAATCTTTCAAAAATTATAAAATAACCTTTAGGATTTTTTTCCGTCCAACGTAGGGAGTCACGCTTCTTTCGATGCACTAAGCATCGTGCAACAAAATAAATAACAATTTATGATATTTATACTTTAATTAAGAGAAATATTATATCGAATTGAGCAACTCTTTATGTCATAATGAAAGCGAGATATATTAAAATGCTTTCAGGTATGTCAAACATACATATTTATAAATTTTATCCTTTGAAGGACGGACTTTTTTTAACATCTATTTTAAGCTATAAGTTGTGTAGCATCACGTTCGAGCTCGGTGACTGAACCCGAACGCTCAGTACCGAGCCCGAACGTGACCCAAAATCAACCGAGCCCGTTCATTTTGATTTTTTTAATATTTTTATATATTTTTAATACATATAGGTATTGGAGGGCCCCCAGGGCATTGCTCATCACTCTTGCACATATACCCACACAAACACAAATACATACCACACACACGTACACACACACCCCCCACACAAAGCCCACACCTCACACACACGAGGACACATTTGGCAGCCTCCTTATTTGCGCTCAGCTAGGCATGTTCGGTTCCGCTCGATTGAGCATCTGAACATGTTCGGCTGCTCAGTAGGGCGCCGAACATGTTCGGTGTATTACAAATCCTATAAGTATTAATTTTATATTGTCAAACCCTTTGATTTTTTCAAATTATTGAGAAAATATTTTTGTGTAAACCAAACTTCTCATAACAAAAATTTATACGAATAACTCCGAAAAATGAAAGTATTTTTTCGTAAAGTTTTTTTCTTATAAAATAAATTTATTTGCAATAGAAATGCACAAATATGTTTTTCCACTAATTTTTCTCTGTGACAAATTAAAAAATTTTCACATACTTTTGCTCGGTGACGAACAAAAAATCTCTCCTTACTTTCGATGCGT